GGAGAAATGGCTGATTCTAAGACTGGTGCAGAAAATATGCAAGATGAGCCGGGAGAATCTTGTAGCGCCAGAAAGTAAGAAAGTGCTATAACAAGCAAACAAACCAGAAAGCACATCACAAAGGGACACAGAAGCCAAGTAGCCAAAGCTGGAACAGATTTATCAACAAAATATGTAAAGTGATATTGGACTATAACCCAAAGTATAAAATAAACATTCATGAGTCCACACTGGTATGAATGAATGAATGAATGAATGAATGAATGAGAGACAAATCTCTTGTGCAGAATAATTTCAAATAGTTTATGTGGACACTGCACCCTCCGGCAGGTGGAGCATAACTCTACTCCTTTGGTGCAGGCTATGCAGAGTGATTTCCTTCCCGAGAGTACAGATCGGAAAAGGTGAGAAAAGAGTAACTTTACAGTGGAGAAACTTGACAACCATGACCTTGGCCAAGGGATCAAGGTCAACATCAAAAGTGGTAAGTGATGTTGACAGCATGGACCCTGGATATGATGCCATGGAAACGGCACTTTACCTCTGTGGACTTCCTTTCAAAAACCCATAACCCCAGTCTAATCATGAGAAAAGCAGCAGACAGACCTCACTAGAAGGACCTTCTACAAAGCACCTGACCAGTACTCCTGTAAACTGTCAAGGTCATCAAAAACAAGGAAAGTCTGAGAAACTGTCACAGCCCAGAGGAGCTAAAGGTGGTATTCGAACTAACTGTGATGTGGTATCCTGGATGAGACCCTGGAACAAAAAAGGACATGAGACGAACTAAGAAAATCTGAATAAAGTTGGGGCTTTAATGAATGACAATATATCACTATTGATTCATTAAATGTACCAGATATGCCTTACTAGTTTAAGATGTTAATAATAGGTGAAACTGGATATATGGAAATCCTAGTATCTTCTCAATTTTTTCCGTGAACGTAAAAATGTTCTGAAAATAAAGTCTATTTTTTAGAAAAGATGCAAAAAAGAATGGCCCTCTTTTCTGTCTTTGAATGGGATGCCTGGGGCAGTAGCAGCCACCTTGCAGCCATGTGATCAGACGGTAAATATTTTAGGCTTTGTGGACCCTGTGGGCTCTTGCATATGCACTCAACTCTGCTGTTGTAGCACAAAAGTAGCCATACACTACAGGTAACTCAACTGGTGTGGTTGTGTTCCAATAAAACTTTATTGACAAAAACAGGCACCTGGGGATTTGGCACATGGGCCCCCATTTGCTGGCCCATGTCTAGAGGGACGATGCAAACAGCTCAGGGCCCCAGCAGGGCCCTGACACTCCTTGGAACATCTTCCTTTAGAAATAGTACATTTCCTTAATGCTTAAATAGATCACCATTTATTTATTTTCTGTTACTTGCAGCCAGAAGCCCCCAGACCAATAAAAGCACTGTGCTGGCTCCTGGGCTTGCTCCTCCCTGTTTCCTCCTGGTCCCACTGGGGTGAGCGGGAGAGGGAAGGTGGAAACTCCATGAGCTTTTTCTGTTCTCAGCTGGACAGCTGGACAAGTACACACCTGTCCATCCACGGAAGATTTTGAGGAAGTTGGATGGGGGGACAGTGTAGGATGGTGGCACAGAGCATCCCAACTCTTACAGACTGTGACGTGGGAGAACAGCTGACTTCTCTGTGCCTCAGTTTCCATGTCTGAAGAACAGGGATATTGTGAGAATAAGAGCAGTTGGGAAGTGCCGGCCCGGTCACTCCTGGGAGCACTTGTCCTCCATAGACAATGGATATGAGTCTGGCTATGACTTTAGGCAGCTCAGTCTCCTGGGAGACGAGCCATGGATGCCATGAGCAGCGCAGTGACTGTGTCAGCAGAGGTGGCACAGAGAAGCTGGGGCACACTGGAAAGCTTCCTGGAGAAGGTGCGGTCTAAGCTGGTCTCAGTGCTCGAACCAAGTTCGGGACGGCATAGGGGCTGAGGGAAGGGGATTTTCGGCAGAAGAGGCAGCAGTGAGGACAGTCATGGTGGGAAAGAGTGGCGTGTGCACAGGGAGGCGCCAGGGGGGTGCTTTTTCCTGGAACGCCTGGGATAAACGAGAGAGAACAGAGAGGCTCTGCAGGGACTCGTGGGCCTCATGAGATGTCTGTGCTTCCTCCTGAGGCCAGGGGAGCCGTGGAGGATTCTAAGTCCCACCAGGTTTGGGACAGTGGTGGTCATCGGATGGGACGACAGTCTGGTACAGGCCACATGGTGGACATGCAGGTATGAATGGACTTTAGTTACTTAGGAAGGGAACTCTCACCCCACAGCAGGTGGGCTGCATGCAGGAGAGGGGGATAGGGTGTCCAGGAGGAGGAACAGGTACACAATGGGGACTCTGGCCAGGTGGACAATGGCCACCACTAACAGTAAGCTCAGAAATTCCCTCTTTTGCTCCAGCCAGATTCCAGAAATTTCTAGGAAGGTGCTGACTGCTGGGCCTGGTGCTGTATAACGGGGAGATGAATGCCACGCCAAGCGACCTGTTGATTTTCAGGTAACTCTTGGTCTGGACAAGCAAAGATTTTGCATGCCACAGAGGCTCTGGGACCCACGAGAAGGCCCCAAGGACTCCAACTGGGCCACCACCTGGTCTTGATGGCAGGCCTGCCAGGAGTTGGGGGAGGGGCTCCCCCTGCCATCTGTGGCCAACACCAGCCTGGGGGCCACTATGGCGAGGACGTGTCCTGTCACCCGTGACTGGCACATAGTCAGTGTGCAGTGCCTGCTCATCAGATGGACTCAACTGGCTCCTCAGTCCCCTTGCCTTGTTATGTTCTGCAGTGATGGATGCGATGCTCCTAAACCAAAGGAAGTGGTGCTTATTCACCATCCTGTGGGCTCCTCAGCCCATGCCCGCCGCCCTTCCAGGCTGACACGCAGGAGTGAGGCAGGATCTTCTTCCCCTCCAGGGATGGCTTCGCCACACTGTGCAGGGGCCATGCTAAGCCCCCTCCCAGCCTTTGCTGCAGTCAGAACCGGTTCATCCTCTCCCCTTTTTTCTCCTACTATTCCTCAGTTCAAAATCCAGTCTTCTGTAAACCACCCCCTGGTGCCTACCTGCCAGCTCTCCCTGTCCTCCCCACATCATGCTGCGGCACCAGTTTCTGGGTCTGCCTCTAGCACTAGAGGGGGTCCTCTGAGGTCAGGGGCTGGGTCTGAGGCACTGGTGTCTCCCAGTAGCCATCTTGGTGATTGGTCCCCAGTCAGGCTCAAAAAAAGATTGGGTGAGTGAAAGCTGAGACCTCCCAAATGAGGAGCTGCCGACCTCAGGAGAGAACTTAGCATTGTGCTTGGTACCTAGTACGTGCTCAGTGAGAACTGATTAGCTGTTCTGATTTGGGTCATTACTGTGCAGCTGATTCTGCTGTGTCGGCCTGAGCTCCACACGGTTGGAGGGGGTGCTTGATTAGAACCCAAGGCTCCCCTCTCCAGCTGGAAAGGGCTCTCCATCCTGGTGACTGCCTGGGGGAGGTGGTTCTGTGTGCCCAGCCCAGGACCTGCAAACTCACCCAGAAGGTTCGAGGGGCATATGATTATAATATGACAACCCCACCCAGCAGCCTGTGTTATTACTAGCAGTGGCTAATATTTCTGTGTGCCTGACACCCTGCTGGGATCATGTCACAGGCATTTTATCAGACGCCAGGTGCAAGCATCCCACAGGCACCAGCATCAATACCATTCTATGGACAAGGTGACTGAGGGTTGGCTTGGGGAGTGACCACTACTGAGAGGCTCGGACTCTGGAACCAGCTGGGCACAGCACATGGTAGCCTGCCCTCACCACGGAGGAGCAATGAGCTCTTTCGTTTATCAACAATTCTTTACACTCTCTGAAGTTTTCATCACCAGAAAGGAGGAAAAGGGAACAGGGTACTGACTTCTGCCCTGAACTAGTGGCTGCTGTCTTCTGCCAGAGGTTCTGAAAGCATGTGAGATATTTCTAGGGCTCTGTGGTCAGAAACTTGGGAACCCTGGAGAGGAAACAGCAGCCATCCCTGGGGTTACGGTTCTATACTGGCTGGATTTTTTAAAAAAGCCTTGACCAGACATTAAGGATGATCCTATTTAGAGAAATAAATGAGACAGTTTCCATAGCGGGTACTATGGGTGCTCTGTTCAGATAAGGGGTGTATGAACCTGTCCCCAGCTTCTATCTATGTTGCTTCAAAGGGCTGGTTCCTGGGAAGACCCCTCTAGGGCTTCTGGGACCCTCTGCTCCACTGTCATGCACCGAAAGCCAGCAGGGTCTGTCTGGGTCTACCTTTCTCCTGGGTGCAACCTACACTCCANCACCGAAAGCCAGCAGGGTCTGTCTGGGTCTACCTTTCTCCTGGGTGCAACCTACACTCCAAAGCTCCCCACACGCTCCCTTGGGATCGGGATGAGGCTGGAACTTTGCCTAAAACTGTCCCTCTTGCTGCACCGAAAGCCAGCAGGGTCTGTCTGGGTCTACCTTTCTCCTGGGTGCAACCTACACTCCAGAGCTCCCCACACGCTCCCTTGGGATCGGGATGAGGCTGGAACTTTGCCTAAAACTGTCCCTCTTGCCCAGCTTCTCCCCCTCATCTTTCCTCTTTCCCAACTCTCTTAGCTGTCCCTCCAGGAACCCATCCTCAACACATCCCTTGCACAAAAGTCCTCATCTCAGGGTTTACTTCTGGAAGAACCCCACATAGGGCAGTGTCTTTCTTGCAGACCGTATCAGAGCTTCCATTGTGCTATGGTGAATAATGACTTCCCAAGAGGGAAGCAAAGAATGCAATGTTTTTGTAAACTCTTTTAACCTCAATAACCTCCCCTTTTATTACAACCACTGCCTGAACTAAAACAGAGAGGTCAAACGAATTACTGAAGGGTACCAGCAGCTCCAAGGGATCATTTCCTCTCCAGTAAATTCATCCTGGGGTTGTTGCAGAGGGTTGTGGGGGCTCAGGGGTGAGGGATGAGAGAACATCACGGCTGAAGAAGTGAAAAAGCCTCATTCCAAAGAATTGTAAAATTTATTGTATAAGTATTGCAGCTTTTCAGAAAGTCATCATTGCCACTAATGATTACTGATACAACAAGCAATTTCTTCAGGCCTGTGGATTGGCGTCCAGATACAGAGTCTTACACAGCAGCAACGTGGCGGCTGCACTCGGCGGGCCACGGAGAGCTTACATAAGTTTAACTGGAACAGAACTCGGGGAACAGGGCTGCAAAGGAGCGTGGTTCCGGCGCCGAGAACACAACGTAAAAGCATTGTAATCAGCACAACGATCATGGGATCAGGCAGGCAAAGGAGAGCGCGGCATGGCCTTCTGAGCTCTATACTACAGCAAAACTTCAAGCGCAGTTTCCAGAAAACAAAACAAAACAAAACATTATTTCCTTACCATCAGGATGTTTTATGGATCTGGAAGCTTTGAGTTGCACGCAGGAAAAAAAATATTCTCTGAAACATACAATTCACAGGGACACCCAACAGGGACAGGAAATGGATCCGGTTCTCACCCTGCCCTAGTTTTTTGCTCCACGTGGGGAGAGGGGTTGCTGTGAATTCTGTGCACAAACACAGGGCTTTTTGGGAACACGGATGGTCCTTAGTGCAATTCGCTGAGTCCATCTGTGTAAACCCAGGCTTTGCAGGAGAAATGATTTTCCTCCGGAGGAAATGTGGTGATTGAATAAGAGGGAAAAAATGAGAGAGCTGGAGAAAACTGAGCGTTGCCATCTTCTCTGAACCTGGGATGGAAACCTGAAACCAACCTGGTCCCCCTCCAACCAGCCACTTCTGAGGACCCCTCCTAACTTCCTCCTGAGGGGTGCTCCAGGGGTGTTTAAAGATAGTGACACAACCACCATCATCTGGAGGCAAGAATGCACCCTGGACCTCTGGGGTCCAGCAGAAAAGACCAGAGCTGAGCTCTGGCAGGAGTTTCCAGATAAACACCCCGCCGGTTTTCTTGTGACACGCCCTGCCTCTGACAAGCCACTCCCTGATGCCCTTCTGCAACTGTCACCACTGGGCATGAAGCTCAGGGACACTTCAGCGCTGGCTTGTACTCAGAGGGGTGGGCTCTGCTCTCCAGCCAGCTGGGGTCAGTAACCCACTCCCCTCCTTCTTCCTCAACTCCAGCAAATACAGCAAACACAGACCATACCGTGAGGCAACATGGCTCAAACAGTTTGGCTCAAGGACATTGGGAACACTTCGGCCTGGCTTTTGGTGGATGCCACTCACACAAATGAGGTCTACTTCTAGGTTTTTGACCCAGATGGGAGTTGTGCACAGTCCTGGACAAAAGAGGCTGGAGAGATGGGGAGAGGGACGCTCACCAAACTAGGCACATCCATGGCAGGAGATTGGGGACGTGACAAGGCGATGGGGATGTTTGCAAAGAAGCAGTAGCCCTTTTCAGACCAGGGGAGGGGACACCAGTCCCGAGTGAGGGAGGCGCAGTCCGGGAACATCCCCTGCCCCACGACAAGAGGGTTCCTGCTTCCTCAGTAAGGCACTAGAGACACTTCACATAAAGGAAAGATACGTTGGAAAAATCTTTGTTAAGTGTGTCCCTGTACCTTCAGGACAAACTGTATTGATTTCTCTGCATGATCTCTTCAAAGAATCCTCCTCCAGAGAGAAACAAATTGTAAGCTGAAGACACCATGGGGAGGCAGGTTCTGCTACTGTCAAGGTACAGGAACGTTCTGCCGAGCAGGGCAGCACTGACTCCCAGCTCTGTTGGTCACAGGTTCTTAAAATATACATATATATATATATATAAATAGAGTTCAAATGGTCAGAACTTCAAAACTGGTCTCAGGTTTTTGTTTTTCAAGTAATAGAAAAGTTGCTATTACAAACAATAGTCATTACCTCCCATATCTTTCTTTTATGTTAGTCTACTAGTTAGCGTTCCGCCCAAAATGAGACACTTGCCTGGGACAGAAGTGGGTGGCAGTGGGGATCATTACCTCCCATATCTTTCTTTTATGTTAGTCTACTAGTTAGCGTTCCGCCCAAAATGAGGAGACACTTGCCTGGGACAGAAGTGGGTGGCAGTGGGGGTCTGCTCCTCCTGCTGGGACAGGAATGCTAGCAAGTCTGCAGTGGGGAGGAAAGACCTCGAGCTCCAGCCACTGTCCCTGGTAGATCCCAAAGGACCCCACCCCACTCCTTCTGTCACCTCTATTTATGTGCCCGTTCCTGCTGCTTCTTGACGCACCCACCAAACGGTCCCGCCAATTCCACACCTATTCAGTAAAAACCTGGTAAACAAGCGTTGAGTCTGACAAACATGCAGATGAAATCACAGATAGATAAAGACATCGAAAATGATCGTTTCCATGGGGGAAAGGAATGAAAATATAGGAGAGGAGGTAAAGAATTCTGCTTCCAAAGCATGAAGCATGGGTTTGGGGTGGTTTGACTGCTTTTCTCATTTTAACCCTTTCACATGTCCTGGGAGAAACCTGCGCTTGTCGCCTTTTCATCTCAGGTGGTCTGTTTATTGTTGGCCTCTCAGGTGAGACTCGATACGTAAAGGGAAACGGACAGGGACGAGGTCAAATTGCTAATACTTTGGGCCTTTCCTATACGCCAGTGTAATGCACCAACCTTAGCCAATAAATGCTGGAGCCAGCTGAATCGCCACCAGAGCCCTGTGCACGAACAAGCCATCTCACTCCCTCTCATGAGTCCCTGACACTTGCACGGGAGCAGCTGCCACTTGCAAGGAACACCTTGCTCCTTCCCACAGAGACCTTCATGGTGAAAATAAAAGAGGAGGAAAAAACTCAGATTCCTTCGGTAACAGTTTATTTCGGGAAAGGCAAAACTACCACCTGGAACTTGGTGTCTCTGTGGTAACTTTCCTATTTTGCTTGTGATCCAAAGGCTGTTCTGGCCCAGGGGGGAAAAACGTGTCTCCTTCAGTAGGGAATGTATGACATGGCAAGAACCTATCACTAGGCAGAAGGATCCACTCTGCAGGGAAAGCGGCCCCGGGGGAAGCCTGCCCTTCCCTGGCCCAGCCTCTCTCCAGGCTCCACAGGGAGCTCACCCCCCACCTGACACTGACTCTGAAATTCCAACATTTCTCCCTTAAAGTCTCAATAGACATGATAGAAGTTTCCATCAAACAAGCACTGACATATTTATATTAAAAAATAGTGCAAAATCTCAACATTTATATAAATAACTCTAAACCCCTGCTTTGTAATTTTTTTCTTTACAAGGTAATACACACTTTCTGAGTTGGCACTCAAAAACTGCCATTTTTTTTCCTCTTCTAGTTCAGAAAACAACTTTTTTTTTTAATAGGCCTCTTCTAATACAAAAATACTCCTGCCCTCGCACATACAGTTTCTCTTACTTTATATATATTTATATATATAATATTGCAGATCTTTAAACAAAGATTTTGTGCAAATATGTCTTTAAAGTTAAGTGAAATCATCATAAACAAAAGAAAATAAGCATTCACGCACACAGCTCAACTAGAAACAAAAAAGACTACTGCAGAATTCTTTTTTCCTCTTTTGCCTTCAAGACACAGCTCAACAAAGAAACGTGGTTTTTTGCAAGCTTTCTCAGCTTGTGCATTCAGACCAGACATAACATGTAAATATTTATACACGGGAGGTGGGAGAGGATGGCCACACGCTGCATTTTCTGTGTGTCACCCTGCCCTCCTCTCTGTTCTCTTTTAAGAAGTGCGGAGTGTTTTGCCTTTTTACCTACGGCTGCCCCAGCCCGGCCCCCCTGGGGACCCCTAGAGAGGGTGTCCTTTCTGTTTATCCTTCTCTTTGTTCCAGACGGCTGCGCTCTCTAGGGGGGCGATGTGTGCATGGTGAAGCCGGGTCCCCTCCAGCAAGGAGGGTGGCCCGTTGCTCTGCTGGTGCGGGAAGGAGGACCCAGGGTAATGACTGATGACCTCGCTGTAGGTGGGGGGTGGCCCCTCCATGCGCCCGCCGTTGCCGTAGCACGTGGCACTGATGCCCGAGTTACTGCTGGGGGGGCAGGGGCCGCCCAGCATGGTGCTGTCCATCAGGTCGCTGTCGAAGATGGTTCTGTTGGGGGGTGCGCGCACTGACTCGCGGTTCAGCTCCAGTTGCTGCTCGGGGTCCCGCAGCTGGAGGGTGCAGGGGCCCTGGTAGGGCGGAGGCTCCTCCCCATCTGACAGTGAGATGGTGGGGGGCAGGTCGATCTCGTGCTGCAGGTATGGGTACGTGGGCTGGAAGCGGTGGAAGCGGTCCCGCTGGGCGAAGGGGGGCACGGCCAGGCGGTCGGCAGGCCGAGGCGGGGCATAGACCTGTGGCTGGAAGGAGCAGAGCAGAATGAGGGAGGGTGGCTGTTTCAGATCGGGTCCCGCAGACTCAGAGCCTGAGGCAGGGATTGGCTGTGTGCCACTCTGCTCTCTGGGGAGAGGGCACAAGGGCAGCAGGATGGGTTGGGGGAAGGAGTGGAGCGAGGATGTGGTCTAGCAGGGGTCCCAGGAGTGTGAACAGCTCCCCAGAGTAGCAACACCCTCCTTGCAATGGGGGCAGCCTGTGTGCTCCCATGCTGCAGCAGCCTGTGTGTCCCCATGCTGCAGAGAGCGTATAATCCTGAGCAAAGAGGATCCCAGGAGCCAAGGAGAACTCTTGAGGGAAGGGTAGAGGTGTGAGCCTTCAGCAGCAGCAGCTTCCAGCAGTCACGGGAGGGGGCGGGGCTGGGGCAGGGGAGGCAGTGTTGGGTCTCACCTCTGGGATGCCAGTGCCCGACACTGTGCTCTCCGACGGCCACAGACATCCTTCCTGTATGGGGAGGAGAGGGACAGGCGGGGTCAGTGGGGTGGGCAGAGGTGGGAGAGCAAAGGGTCAACCCGGCTTCCACCCTGAGAACTTTCATCCTGGAATTACAACGTGATTCTCTTCACCCACTTCTCAATTCCACCCCGGCCACCCAGCCCTGACCCTGGAGATTTCTCGAGGAAACTGCCTCCTCACTGGTCTCCCAGCTCCCACGGTTGTCCCCTGAAAATCTAGCCTCACTTTCCAAAACAAACGTCTAAATTGTGGGTCCGCCTTCTCGAAGTCCTCTGGCTACTTTCCCTGGACCTTCACTGGCTTATGACGAAGCCAGCATGATCTTGCCCACCCGGCCTCACACCACCTGCCCTGACCACCTGCATGCTGTGTGGCCTTGGGCAAGTTCCTTAACTCTGATGCTGCAGTTCTTTAATCTCAAAATGTGGATAATTATATCATTTGTCTCATGGAGTTGCTGAAGACCTTAACAAGTCGAATGTAACACCCACCTGGAGTGCATGTGGCCCTTGGGGAGCGTATGAAAGTGTTGGGTGCCACCGCTGCACTCCCTGCAGCCACACTGACTGGACATCCAGTGTCTCAACATGCTAAGCATGCGCTGCAGGGCCTTTGCACCCACTGCCGCCGCTGCATGGCCGGCTCCTTTGACTTTCAGTTCTAGTGTCTCCCAAAGACTCTCTTTGACACTATTATCTAAAGGCCCTCTTCCCATGAACTCTCCTGTCACCTGTTTCTTTCCTTCATGGCACCTGTCCTATCTGTAATCATCTTGCCTGTGTTTATTTATCTCTTTACTGTCTCTCTCCTGCTGTATTATGAGCCCATAATTACTGATATCCCAATGTATAGGTAAGAAACAGAGGAGTGTTAAGCAAAGTGCCCAAAGCAGCTGCTCTGCCACAAACAATGATTTGTTCACCGACAAATGTGGAACATGGGGCCATGTCTGTGCCAAGCTCTGGGCCAGGTGCTGGGGACATCTCATGAAGCTTACGTCCTCTGTTCTAAGATTCCAGCAGGGGCCTGCAGCTCCTCATGGAAAGTGGGACCCCATGCTAGGACCAGTTCATCTGAGTTGCCCAAATGTCACTAGGGACAGCCCTGGGCCTGGGGAAGAAACATCTTAATTTTATCGCTTCATTGAGATATAACTGATATGCAATAAACTCACATATTCAAAGTATACAAATTCGGTCAGTTTGGGCATATGTATATACCAAAACTGTCACCACAATCGAGATAATCAACATATCCATCACCTTCAAAGTTTCCTTGAAGACACATTTTCTTGAGGGTTCCCAGGTAGGATGTCTCTCACCTGCGGCCCAGGTAGAAACTGCCAGAGGGCAGCAATTTCCCATACAGCCACTAGGGGGCTCCGTGGCTCTCAAAACGGTCGCATCAGGAACGTACATCTATCTGCACCCTATTCCTGAATTTAGTGAATGACCCTGGCTTCCTTCAAGATTCAAAAGCCACTTCTACAGGGTCATTCCTGATAACTCCCTCTCCCCCCCCACCTTATCCCACCCACCCCTGAGCCCCCTCAATTCTCCTTCCACTAGACATCTCCAGTCCATCCACCTTTCTCCCCAGCATCTAGGCCTGGTGGACAGCGAAGGTCTCCCAGACTCTAACATGCACACAAACCAACTGCAGACCTTGTAAAGGTGCAGCCTCTGCTGCAGAAGGGCTCGTGGGGAGGCCAGCAATGCTGCACGTCTAACAATTCCGCAGAGGCTGCTGATGCTGCTGGTCTGTGGGGGCCTTGAAGGGTCTCCAAAGGGTCTCCTGCCTCCACTCCACTCTTGTTCTGCTCCCCTCATGGCCCTTCCTCCTCACAGAAGCTGGAGTTGCTCCAGCTCCTTTGCTCGAACGCCCACCCCTGCCACTGCCTCAACCCTTCCAGGCTCCCTGCTGCCTCCAGGACAAAGCCACTACAGACTACCCCAGTCCTGTCATGTTACGACTCTGCTTCCCTTAACAAATTCTCCTGTCTATGCAGCAGGCTCATGACAGCACCTACAATGCACCTTGTGGCGTATTCCACAAAATAAGCACAAACTCTGCCCACCCCACATTCCTGATGAACTCCACCAGCCCCTCACATCTGTGTGTAGGCGTGCTGACCCTGGGGTCTCTGCTGGCCCCCCAAGGTGGTTCAGGCACCTCTGTGGTACTCCCCGGGGTCCCATTCCTACATCACAGCCTCCTCTTTCTGCCAATAATTGCCTGTTTACACGTCTCACTCTCCCTGTGGGAGCTACGGCTGCGACAGCAGGGGCTGCCGTGTCCCCAATGCCTGGAGTCTGGTGCAGTATACAGTAGGTTCTCTGGTTGCTACTCCAGTGCATAAGTTGTTGGGTGGCCCTGTGCAAGTCATCTGCATAGGACTAGGCCTAAGTGCAACCTGAGAGTGGGGGCACCACTCAGAATCACCCGGAACCTTCCCCAGTCCCTGGCGGCTTCTAGCAGTCACTCGGGGATGAAGACACGGACAGAGCCCACTCCTGACCGTCCCCTCTGCACCCAGCAGCCGCGACAGGCTCCCAGCTCATCTCTCCCTCCCTTTAACCGGAACCTTCCCCAGTCCCTGGCGGCTTCTAGCAGTCACTCGGGGATGAAGACACGGACAGGGCCCACTCCTGACCGTCCCCTCTGCACCCAGCAGCCGCGACAGGCTCCCAGCTCATCTCTCCCTCCCTTTAGAGCCACTTTCTCTCCCCGCTGCTCCCCTTTCTCCTGGGGCTGCTCCTTCTGTCTCCTCTTGCCCCGTCCTCTCTCTGAGTCCAAAGCTGGCATCCCCACACTAGGTTCTGGCTCCTGCTCTGTGTCTGCCTCCTTGAGGTGGGTTCATCTAGTCGGCCCATGTCTTCCCCTTCTAAATCCCTCTGGATTGAAGGTCCACAAACTGTTTCCACAAAGGGCCAGAGAGTAAAACAGTTTCTGTCTTATAGGCCAGATGGTCTCAGTCACACCACTCAACTCTGCTGCTGCAGCACAAACATAGCTGCAGGCAATCTGCATATAGATACCAGTGGCTGTGTGCCAATAAAACTTTATTTACAGAAGCAGGCAGCCAGCCCTTGGGCCATAGTTTGCAGGCCCCTGACGACTCCCCACAGAACTTTAGCTCCAGACTCTGAGAGCCACATGCCTGCTTCACAGCTCCTCCTGGATCACACAAGTCTTCAACTCCACAGGCCAGAAAGAAACTCCTGATTCTTCCCCTAAACTCGCCAGTAACACTGTCCCCATCCCAATGAACACGCACATGCCTGCTTCACAGCTCCTCCTGGATCACACAAGTCTTCAACTCCACAGGCCAGAAAGGAACTCCTGATTCTTCCCCTAAACTCGCCAGTAACACTGTCCCCATCCCAATGAACACAATCACCGTCTACCAAATTTTGTAAGCCAAGCATCTGGCAGGTGCACAGCAGTAGCTCATAGATAATTTGTTAAAGAATGAAAGAGAAGACGACTCCAGTTAGGACAGAGCCCAGCACAAGGGACCCGGGGGAAGTTCTATGTCCCCTGGAGATCAAGGGACTTGCCTGCACTTGAACCTCACCCTCTGACTATTTTCCTTACCTTGTTTGATAGTTAAGAAGACAGTGTCTCAGAGAGGGCAGATAGTTGCCCAATGTCACACAGTAAGGAGAAGATAAGGCTGGGACCTCAGAGCCCAGACTCTTACCCATCCTTGTATCCTGGATCACAGGAGAAGGTGACCTATCTGTGAGGCAGGTGGGGCAGGGCTACGCACAGGTACAAGGGGATTCCCAGAGATCATCCCGAAAGGGGGCCGTGGGTGAACAGCCATGCCAGGGGCAAAGCCCAGGTGGGCAGGTGAGATGCTGGCCCTGCCCCAGCAGACAGCAGCTGTGTTTTGGTCTCTCTGGGAGGTCACAGGGTCCAGAGACTCCTCAGATGTGTCCTGTCTGGCAGGGAGTGCCCAGGGGAGCTGCCACATTCTACTTTAAGCCATGTTTACCCAGCCAGGCATCCCCAGGGGCTCGTGCAGGTTGGGTAGACAGAGTGGGGGAGACTTTCAATTAGCCTCAAGTGTCTGGGGAGCCAGGGCTGATTCCCACCCTCCTTCTTGGCAGCAATGTCCCAGTGCTGTCCATAGGGCTATCTCCCCTCCACAACAGCAAGGATCTCTCACACCCAGACCCCCTACACTGTGTTTATTCAGCACTCTCTAGATAACTATCTAACTTTATTCTCCCTATGATCATCTGACCATGTGGGCGGGCAGAGGGAAATGAGCTTCACCCCATTTACAGACGCACACACTGAGGCTGAGAGGGGCAAAATGGGCCCACCCTGGAGCACAAGCTACCTGGGCTGGTGTTACCTCCAACGTCCAATGTATCTTCACTCTCCCCAGCATTCCAGGGAGGACAAAATGGGTCATAGGCTCTTCAAACAGCCACTGACAAGCTCCGTGTCCTGAGGCAAATGTTCCAACTCTCTGAACCTCAGTTTTTAAGTCCCAGACTGCAGACACGGCATGTAGTATGCATCACTATGCAGATGGCAGCGCCTGTTGCTGGGTAATAGCAACAGCAGATAAACACGCAGGTGAGCCCTGGGCTTTGGAAGCAGTGGATTCCTTCAGAGCAGCAGATGTGGAGTTTGCCCTCCAGACACACGCTGGGCCTTGGGTTTAGGTGCTTGGAGTTTGCATCAGAGGTCCCAGATCTGATGCTCCTTGTACTGACACCTAGTGACGCACTGAGACTGCAGCTGACGTTAGCAGAGATGCCCAAACCTGCCGGGGACAGGCCTGCCAGCTCAGGGCAGCAGCCAACATACTCCTTGGCCCAACTTGGCTCAGCTCAAGGACTCTGGGCACCACCGCCAATCCCAGGCAATCCCCAGAGCTGGGGAGGCCATGCCCAGCCTGCCTGTTCCATCATCGAGCTGCCTGTGCCTGGTGCACACTGCTCAGAGACTTGCCTGCTGCCAGGGTTGCCCGCATGCTGTGTGCTCCCTGTAACTCCCAGCCTGGCCTGCAGACAGCCGCATCCTGCCCCCTATTGCTAAATTACACAGCACAGGCACAGCGACAGAAAGCATTCAGAGATTAATCTGCGCCTCCCCGTGGTCCATCTGCTAAAGAATGCCCAATGGCAGGGCAGAGTGCAGCCCCAAAGGGGCGCTGGATGTTCAAGGTCAGAAAAGGACAAGTTCCCACCACCAGGAGCTGCTCTATCTGTTCCCTGACTTTGTGGCATCTTGAGGTGATATTCCTGGAGTTTCCAGAATGCCCAGTGATGTTTGGAATTCTAACATATTAAATTCAGGGTTGCAGGGCTCGCCGGTTAGCTCCGTTGGTTAGAGCACGCTGTTGTAACACCAAGGTCAAGGGTTCATAGCAAGGATCCCTCAATGCAGCCTCCACGGGCTCTCCAAGGTGCAGTGACCACATGGCCCAGATTCCTGCAGGGCACTGGCACAAAGGAGGGGCTGCCACCTCCCTCCTTCTGGGTCACAGCTGCAAGACTGCAGGCACCTTTCCCAGCACCCCTGCCCTGGCGGGCGCAGAGTCAAATACTGACTCCCCATCCCCCGCCCCCCTGTCCATCCGGCCTCTGTGTATACCTAGAACGCCCTCCCTGCCATCACCTGCCTGCTGCCTCCCTGCCTTCCACGGCGCTCTCCGGTCCTGTCCTCTCTCGGCCCCCAGCAATGGAGGCAAAGATGAAGTCAGCCTGTGCTGCTCTTTGTCCCCAACGCCGGTTCCCACGTGTGGGCTCCTCGCAGAGGCTCCCAACCCTGGCCACTTGTCTCCCGCACAGCACCATCAATCACCCGCATCATCTTCACAGCTCCTCTCCTGGAAAGATGGCCCCATGACAGCAAGGACCATCCGTGCAGCCTGCTCTCCCCAGAGCCCGATGCACAGCAGACACTTCATTCAGAACCAGCCGTCACAGCTGCAAGACTGCAGGCACCTTTCCCAGCACCCCTGCCCTGGCGGGCGCAGAGTCAAATACTGACTCCCCATCCCCCGCCCCCCTGTCCATCCGGCCTCTGTGTATACCTAGAACGCCCTCCCTGCCATCACCTGCCTGCTGCCTCCCTGCCTTCCACGGCGCTCTCCGGTCCTGTCCTCTCTCGGCCCCCAGCAATGGAGGCAAAGATGAAGTCAGCCTGTGCTGCTCTTTGTCCCCAACGCCGGTTCCCACGTGTGGGCTCCTCGCAGAGGCTCCCAACCCTGGCCACTTGTCTCCTGCACAGCACCATCAATCACCCACATCATCTTCACAGCTCCTCTCCTGGAAAGATGGCCCCATGACAGCAAGGACCATCCGTGCAGCCTGCTGTCCCCAGAGCCCGATGCACAGCAGACACTTCATTCAGAACCAGCAGATTGGGGTGGACCGTGGAGCTTCTCTCCACCCCAGTTCCTCACACCCCTGTCTCTGCTGCATCCCAGGGAGGCCCACCTGGTGGGGCTTTTACCCCCGTTTACAGGGGAGGAAGCTGATACCAGGTGGTTTCTTGGCCCCCATCTTCCGGTCCTGAACCTGGGTTTCTGTAAGCCCCCTGCGCAGGGCCTCCATGGGCATTTTATAAGGGGTGTCCGACGGCTGCTGGAAGCTCAGGATACAGACGGGAGGGGCAGGGCCACTTACCGAGGAGAGGGCGTCTTCCCTCCTCCGGCCCTGGCTATGCCGGCTGATGAAGGAGCGGGCAGACAGCTTGTAGTGGCTCAGCAGGCACGTGATCACCACCACCATCACCATCATCACCACCACGATTATGATTATCTGAACAAACTCCAGCTCCGCTGTGGAGACAAAGGGGGACATGTGAGACCTCAGGACCCCATTGTCACTGCTGGGCTCAGGGATCGGCCCCTCTGAGCTTCCCACCCCCTTGAGCAGCGGGGGTGACATGAAGACTCTGTCTTGGTATGAACAGTTTTAAAGACAGTGAAATCTGTGGCACATTCTCCTGGCATGGTCACAGGTGGTGCCCAGAGCTGCCATGCACGTGGGGAGGTGGCTCTCCTGGGTGGGCAGTGTCAGCTGGGAGGACACCTCGAAGACCAGGCACAGGGCAGAGCCTGCAACCTGGACTCCCGACTTGTAGAGACTGACCCCAAGGAGGCAACTGGGGACATACATGCATGAAGATCTCACTGCCAGCTGCTCTCAGAGCCACCTGCAGCCCCTCCTCCTACCCGCAGGAAAGAGCCCCCTGTGCACTGGCCTCCTGGCACTGAGCAGAGGCTGAGGCACGGGGACATGGCCCCTTCCCCCTCTGGGGGGACCTGGTGAAGGGGTGGCCAAGAGAAAGAGGTGAGCCCTGAGAGTGGAGAGGGAATGTTGGAGTTTTGTGGAGTAAAACAAAAAGGAGGCACATGTGGACGTGTGTACAGAAACCGATGCACACCTCAGCACTCCTACACACCCCGATACTCCTACACACACAGTGACATACAAACCTGACACTACTACACACTCACCCCAACAAACACAAATAAACACAGATCACACAGACACACACATACCCACACACAGAGACATTCATCAAACACGCAGACACACACACACATGCGTGTGACTCACACATGCACCACCTTCCATAGGACAGGGGTTATAAGGACCCTGTCTTGGTGAAGAGGCCTCAGAAAAGCCACATTTCAGATGGCTGCAGACGTTGCGATTTTCATTTTTTAAAGGCTTTTTTTTTTGGTATGTTTTTCCCCTCGAAGGCGGAAAAACCCTCAAGTGCTGGAAAAGGAAGGAGGTTATTTTGATCCTGCCTGAGCTGGGCGGTTTCTGCTGACTCAGGCGGGTCTGTGCCGAAGCGGCTGTGGCAGCTGGCCCAGCTTGGTGCCAGCAAAGCCCCCAGCCACGGGCAAGACGCCGGGCACCTCAGAGCGACATGGCAGGGCGGGCACCAGCCGGCGGTGGTGGGCAAAGCTCCAGCCACGGTGCCCAGGAATGCGACCCCCCAGCCCTGGCACTGCCCGGCACTGAGAGGCAGCTAGCGGAGGGCTCCCCCGGGGTCATGGGTCCCTGCCCAGAGCCCAAAGCTGGAGGGGGAGCAGCCGGGCAGGTCTCAGGTGGGAACTGGAAAAACAACAGGCAGCCAGGTGCCGACGCCACTAACCCTCAGCCACTTAGAGGGGTCGAGAGTCACCACCTGGGCCTAAACAAACTGCAAACATGCAAGGGCCAACCCTCTCCTGCCACCAGCCTCAGTTTCCCTAAGGCTTCAAGCACGAAAGCAACAAGTCCTAGGTGGAACTGTGACTCTGGGTAAAGCGGCAGAACCTTCTCCACATGGAATCATTCCACGGCCCCATGTCATCTGGCCACCCCCTCTGCCCAGCCAGCTTCAGGCCACGTCATTCCCCTGCACGACCACTCACCACTGTTTATACAAGGCCATGAAGTCAGCGTTTCTCCACCGGGACAAGTCTGCCACCCCAGAGCACACGTGACCATGTCTGGGGACATTTTTGTTTGTCACAACTGGGGGGTGCTACTGGCATCTAGTGGGAGTGGGCCAAGGATGTTAACATCCTGCACAGCACAGGACTATCTTCCACAATAAAGAATGACCCAGTCAGTAGTGACACAGTTGTGAATCCCTGTTTGAGACTGAATGTCCCTAAGAACAGGTGCTTTTACCAAACCTATTTCACAAGTGAGACAGAGACTCAGGGAAAGCAACAGATTCACACAGCCCGAGAGCCCAAGGCTGGTGGGTCTTCCCACTCGCCATCCGCCTGTGTCACTGGGGAACTCAGTCTGAGCCGGGCTTTGGCTCGGGCTCCCGGGCAGGATGCGTCCCCATCCCACCCTGGAGGAGCCAGGAGGGAGGATGAACGAACCCAGGGCTTTGGTGAGATTTTCCCAAGACCCGAGCTGCCTGTGGGACATCTGCATGTTCCTGCCAGGAGGGCAGCTTGGCTCGGGCAAAGGCCAGGCCTGGCACCAGGGTTGCTGTGGCCACACCTCCTGTCTCCCAGGGCCTGGGCAGCCTGGCCTGACTCCACAGGGCCTGGGACAAAGCCACGCATTCAGGGGATGCACAGGCCTGCTTTGTGTGACACCCATGGCCCCTCCTCAGAGGGGCCTGCGATTCCCTGCCCTCCCATGCACCTTTCACCCCAGCCGTGCCTCATCACCCCCATCTCCAGGCCCTACCCACGCCAGGCCTGGAGGGAGAGAGGAAGAGAGAGAGGTGTGCAGCAGCCTTTGTTCCTGTCCCAGGCCCTGGCAGCTGGCAGGATCCAGATGGCAGTGGCCAAACTGGCTGCGGCAGCAGGGCTGGGAGGCCAAGGGGACGTGGACAGACCCCTCCACGGCCCTCCTGACCCTACCGGGCTCAGCCCAGAGGGCAGCAGGATCTGGGTGCCTATGTCCAGAGAGTGAGGGAATGCTCAGTAATAAGCACAGGGCTCCGTAAAGCACAAGTGTGACTGCTCTGGTTCTTGGGCCACCAATCCTATTAAGGTACGAACCCAGAAAATTCACAGTGGGGAAAAGGAGGGGGAAAATCCAAAAAAGAGAAACTATGACGAACTGCCTGGGGTCCAGGCCCGGAGAGGAAGAAGATTTGCCAGGGTTCCCAAGACCACGGCTTGGCACCATGGAGGGCAGAGGGCACAGTGGCTGAGTCAGAGTGTCTGGGTCCCCAGCCTGGCTCTGGGTCCCCTCTCTAGGCCCAGAGCAGCCTCCCTGCGTAAAGGGAAGAGACACCTGCAGCAGTGTGTGCACGGGCCATGTGCTCAGCACTCCTCTGGGTAGCACACCGTGCAAGCACCTGGTGGTAGAGGTTGCAAATTGAACGCCCAAGGACATATGTATGCACCATCCCTGGCCCCAACTATGCCTCCACTTGGCATCAAAGGAACAGAACTGTGGGCAGCACCCTCTTGACACAGGCTTGTGTTGTCTGCTTGGCCCCAAACCCCACTCGGGCTGGCTCACACCATGCCACGCCATGCCACATCTGCCTGGCCCCTGCCAGCAGCCTGAGCCTCAGCATGGGAGCCTTTATGGCTCACTGCCACACCCACGGCAGGCACAGTCAATTGAGCATGAGTTCCCTCCCCCACCAAGTCCACACACCCCTCTAGACAGGCACCACTGACTGACCAGCAAAGACCCCTTGGGGGAAAGGGAAAGGTGCCCCCCACCCTCAAAGGCCTTGGAGTCAAGTTAGAAACAGGATGCATGCATGAAGGGTACCAGGATGAGCACGCCTCTCCACCCGTGACAGCTCACAAAATCCTCTTGTGCCCCCTTCATTTGTTCCACGGAAGGTGCGGAGACTGCAGGACCCATTCCGTAGACAGGGCTGAGTTCAGACAGCTTGAGAGCTGACTAGCCTCAGATTCAGATGCCTCATGGGCCCAGGCAAAGGGAAGCAAACCCCAGAAAGTGTGGCCACACCACCCCATCTCTCCGGAGAACCTAGCAACTGCGCACCAAGCAGCCTGGCCTTAAGGCTGGTGACTCGATTAAGAGTTTTAAAAGGACTGAGCAAGCCAAACCTAAGGCATCCACAAGGCAGTGGCTTTGGGACTTCTATCCAAGAGACGGCCCCAGGTCATTCAATTGCTAACAGCGGATACAAAGCCACACGAATCCTGTCCCAGTTTCTCTAACCTGACAGGCCACCCCTTACCTGGATAGGGCAAAGACATCCTAGGCAATACTCCCAGTATGATAAATGCAGGGGTGGGTCTTACCACTCTTCCCAGACCTCGGCTCTCAACTCTCCTATGACCACAGGACTCACAGTCAGTCACTTGTCTCTTCTCTGAGGACCAGCCATGTGAACAGGAGGCACTGGGAAAGAAACATCCCCTCCCTCCCATTCTGCTCCGGCCTCACACCCATGCTCCTCGTAGGGTGGGCCCGGGGGGCAGCTCCCGCCATTCTTCTTTGTAACTTTTCCCCGGGGGGAGGGGTGGGGGTGATGGATGCCACAGGCTCTTGGGGGTGATCAAGCCCATCTTCCACATGCAAAGTAAGGTCACTCTAATTTAATTTAGCATCCTCTTTCCTCGTGAATAATTTCAAATTAACAGGCTCATCTGCCTCTCTAGAGTGGTCTGACCCTCCCTCTCGTGCTCGCCTCCAGACAGACACGGTCACTTTGAGATGTGCATGCACACAGCTCAGATCCTTTCCCAGGCCGTCTTCACGCTAGAGAGGTGCCGTGTGCCAAGGGCTCCCTAAAGGCTTGCATCTTACTGGATTCTCACTGTCATTCTGCGAAGTAGATACGGATATGACCCCCCACCCTACAGATGAGGAAACTGAGGATGACGCAGGTGAGCAACTGGCCAAAGACCACACAGCCCAAGGACCCAGAACCAAGTTTCCTTGACCCCAAAGCCCCCCAAAGACTGTGCTTTCATGGCTAAATGAGACGGACTGCCCCACCCCCGACGGTCCTGAGCATGATGACCCCACAATGTCAGAAATAGCACGAGTTCAAGGGAAGGGCCATTTGTGGATGTGACTGGTCATCAGGCTGAATCAGAAATGTCTGGAGAATCATCCTTTATGGGGTCCACAATGCCAGTATTTGTGCCCAGTGGTACCCACCTCCAGGCCGACAGAATCCCAGGAAGGGTACAGAGAAACCATGTGCCAGGAGCCCTGGGCACCTCCACGGCATGACAGAAAGACGTTAACAGCTGCCACCTCCTCTGTTACTTCCCGTGTGCCAAGCACCTGGCCATGAGAGACTTCTTTCCGTCTTAATTCTCTCAACCACAGGTGAGGAGCTGGGCCAGACAGGTGAAGCCCCAAGGTC